CCCGTACCATCTCCACGCGGCCGTGGCTCACGGCGAGCATCAGCGCCGTCTGACCGGCCTGGTTGGCACACGGCGACAATTGCGTTCAACGGAGGGGCGGCTCACTCGTGAGTCGCCAAAAAAGAAATCTCTGGAAATGCGATCATTGCGGAGAACCGTGCGGTGCGAGTTTCTTTTCATGCATCGTATCGTGATTCTTTGGGCGTGGTTCAAACGGCGACGAGTGACCCTCTTGGGTGTCCGGCATGACACCCAAGTGTCCCTCCCCCGACCCCCCCACCCTTGATAAGAACCAATCAGTCGTGGCCCGGCGCAGTTGCTTGTTACTTAGTTGTCATTACTGGAGCCAACCCCGGTAGCCCGCCAGAGAGCTGATCAGTGTCCGGAAAGCCCGGCAACGACCCGGCGGGCAGGACTTCGGCCACTGCGGAGGCTTTTCACTGCTCAGACATTTTTTTCAGTGAGCCGCAGTTTCGCACATTGGCAGCTTTTGAGAGCAGTTGACCGTGGTTGCAGTCAAAGAAGGAAAAGAAAAACAAGTTCAAAACCTGACTTGGTATACGTGGTGTTTTGTTTCATCGTTCGAATTTAGAAGGCTTTAGTTGTCGGTCATGTGTCAAATTGCGAAGATGTTTATTTTCTCTTGATGGGGACTTGAAATGCATCTCACAGGTTCATTTTGCAAAGCAGGTAAACGGAATGTCACTAAAGTCGCGGTGGATACAAATGTTGCCTCGCCATGGCCGTCAGTCAGGGCCGCAAGGTTTGACTTGAACTGAGTTGCAGGTGCTGCAGAATGTTCAGTGATTTGACTCTGGAGCCAATCGGTTCACTTTGCCTTCTTTCATCGTGGAAGCAAGGCGTTTAAATTTGTCTTCAAAAAATAGGTAGTCCATATGAGTACTGTACAATCAAATGCTATTCGATCCCGCCCAAAAAACAAAACAAAAAGCAATCCAAAACTGTGTTTGATTCATTGAAGACATGAGGCAGGAATGTGAGGGTGAAGGCTTTTTTGTCTCTTTGCGCCCTGCTGACCAATCCCTCCTCACTCCCCAAAAGTCAGCGACCGTCAACTCAAGGTTGGGCGTTTTCCATCGGCGTAAATGTGATGAGGTTCGAATGAGGACAATCGCCGTATAAAACGGATTAAAAGATAAAAGAAGGAAGAGAAAAAAACCCCACGAACGAGGTCTCAAATAAAAGGTGGACTGACCTGGCTGGCTTTGGCGTTGACGTCGCCTCTATCGAAGAGCCGCTCCACCACGCTCATGTCCTCCGGTCGGTCCGCAGCGGCGAGCGCGGCCAGCATGATGGGTGTGTAGCCCGCTTTGTTTTGCTTGTCGGCATCGCACACGTCTGCGGATAAAGAGCTCGTTTACGACATCACGCGCACTAATTCCACGCGGACACTTTGTATATACAGTATGAACCGCCTCTTGGAGTTGAATTACATTTTGAATGAATACCATTTTGAAGAGGTTTGCCTCACACACACACACACACACACACAAAGTGGCAGATTCAGCTTCGCCACATGAAATTTGATCAGCACGTCTCTCGGAAATAGAGCCAGGAAAAAGCCCTCAAGAACCAATGTCCGAAAAGACACCGGCGGGATGGATGTCTGCCATTTTGCTTCGAAGCAGCCATTTTCGGGTCGCTTGGAATATTTCCGGGGGACCTTCAAAGAGGGACGTGTCCCATCGTTCCCAAATGTGACCCACATGAACCAGACAGCTAAGTGGCCGTCAATTGCGATGATGAAATGAGTTTCCCTCTCGCTCCGAGGCGGAGCGTGACGGGGACGTTTTGGTGACTTGCCATTATCATGGACCGACTCCGCCGGAATGTGTGGACCGTACCGGCATCCAGCAGCTTCTGGACCACGCCGAAGTTGGAGTGCGACACGCTGTAGTGCAGCGCCGTGTTGCCGTTGCCGTCGGCCATGTTGGCAACGTGGCGCAGCAGCGAGGGCGAGATGACGCGGAAGCCCGACAAGTAATCCTCCACGGACTCGACGGACGCCGACTTGAGGCTGGACACGGAGAACCACTCCTGCTGGACCGTCTGCAGACAGTCGCGCTGCGGGGAAGACAACGCGGCGCTGAGTCCGACTTAAGTTCTTACCTTGCGGAGCTCGTGATTACAGTTCTGTGTTTTAGGCAAGTCAGCAAATGTCAACAAAAATCTGGTCACGCCGACCGACTCTCTTGCACGAGTTTGGCTTTGAAGGAGCCTTGGAATTGGCCAAAGTAAAACAAAAAAATGTTTTTCAATGGCCGCATCCATCCAAAATGACCGCATTACTGTGCCTTTTGGGGCGTGGCTTTTTGAGATTTTTTTTTTCTTTTTTGTAGGTCTACTCAGAATAGCCTACCTATTTTCATTTTGCCAAGCCAAACTGGCTTTGGGGACTGAATTCCGCCGATAAGTTCATAAAAAGTTTTTTATTTTGATGATTATTTTTTTCCAGCCAGCCAGTAGACTCTACCGACGAAAGAACATTTTCACAAATTTGCATGATGCAACTGCCAGGAGTAGTCCCTTCTTTTTCTTTTTTTTTTTCTTCCCTCAAACCAAAAGGCCCGCCTTCCGATGTCTTTTCAGGTCGGGCTTCTTGGGACTTTCGGACGGATACTTGTGAACGCCCCCGCCCCAGAGCGACGACTTGAGCGTTTTAGCACTGAGCATCAACCCACCAGCTCCCTGCTGGGCAAGCGCTTGCCGTCACTCAGGTGCGTCTTCAACGCCTGGCAAGCGGATGTCATCTTCTCACTGAACTTGCACCTGGACACCAAGAGCAACATCAGGTCCGTCCAAAGTTGATGAATTTGTTCCCCACGATCTGTCCTGCTCATTTCAGAACAGCTTTCGGAGCTGCGGGGCCGAGACGATTTTTGTCCAATCAAGACTCCGGACTCCACGTGCTGCCGTTTCAATGGAATCTGCCCAGGGCCTTCACAATCAGTAACGCTGTTCAATGTGTCGCATTCCCCACCGCCACCAAAAGTAACCCCGATTTAACTGGAGATGACCGATCACAACCGTGCCGACTCAAAACAGCACAACAAAGAGGTGTGATAAGGCCGTCGAGTGCCGGGAAAGCCCTCCTCCTCCGATTCCCCAACATCGTTTTTTTTTTCTTCAGGGTGCCGTGTGACGCACTGGTGACGTGCAAATTTGGAATCCAGAAAGGCAGCGTAAAAGCTGCGCCTTGACCGAGCGATGATCGGACGCCGCAAATCCCGAATTTTGGCCTTGTGTACTTCAAGCGAGCGCCTCGCTTTGACGTGAGGCCACGAGATGAACGGCGGTGGTCGAGATGCAGAACAAGGCCGCAGCCCTACCTCTTGGTGACTTGTGATTTTGCTGAGCCTTTGGATGCCTTGCTGGCGACGGCGCCTTTGATCCGTCTCGCCGGCGTTGCATCTACGGGAGCCTCCCGCCACTTCCTGTCGGAGCCCCGCTCCGCTTCCTCCAGGTTGTCGGCAGCGGAGAGCTTGGGAGGTGGATTCAATCTTCATAGGATAATTATACAAATGAGTTCATTGCAGCGCTAATAAAAGTACTCACACTCTGGACCGAACTAGAAGGACAGCTACTTTGTGTATAAAAAAAAATAAATAAATAAATAAAAATCGCCGTTCCTGATAAATGGTGGCACCATATAAAAGACGTAAGAGGTGTCTACCCGTTGGCCGCCCTCATCAACCTCATGTTTTTCCTGCTGTTACTGCAGCCTTGCTCGCCGATTTCCTTCTTCGGGGCCTTGCGCGAGGCACCGAATAGAGTCGAGCCACCTAGACACAAAATGGATTCAAGTGCAACAACTTTACTGCTTATGACCAACGCTGCCCCCGTTATCACTCGGACCGTGCAGCGACCTGTTGTGGGCTGCTTTTTGCTCTCGTTCACACGTCACAGTTTGGCTTTTATCAGACGTGACACCGGTAACCGTCCTCGCCGATGTTTGCATTCACTTGGGCGAGTTAGCCCGAGGACTCGCCGGTGTTTTTCTTCTTCTCATTCTAAATCAGAGACGCGCATCGCGGAAGAGAACGCTTGCACTCAAACTGCTTCTCGCTCCCGACCGAGGCGTACAATTTTAGACCCGCGACCGCAAATTGCTGCGGCGGCGGCAGGCAGCAAAACGACTTCCAAAACCAGATCGCATTCCAAACATTGCGAGTGTCTCGGAGGCAGCCACTTCCTCCAAAGCTAAAAGGGTAAGTTGAACCGAAGCGTGAGAACGCGAAAGAGGCTCGCCCGCACGGGCGCAGTTTTCAAGCGCCGTGTGATATCGTCCCCCCGATTTCTGGTGATTTACCTCTCGCGGCGGATGAGGTCTGTTGTTCTAACAGCTGAATCATTCTTTTCACCTCAGAGTCGGATCCACCCTGCTGACAGGAGTCGCGGGAGTCTGCCGGCACTTGAATTTCTCTGTTCGCTGCGGCAGAGAAAAAGACAAGAGGGCTTGCGAAAGGTCACGAAAACAAAAGTACTTGACACTTGGTGACAGAAGTGGGTGCAAGTTATGGGTTTCAGGTTTGACCCTTCAGGGTCCAAGTCCCAAGTCACGATGGCAAAAATCAAGCAAGTCGAGTCAAGCCTCACGAATACCAACTCAAAGTCCAAGCTACTTTAAGTTCAAGTTTTTGCCAAGCGAGTCCGAAAATGTCCACTTGGATCTGACTTGATGGGAGTCAATGTGACTCGAGTCCCCCACCTGCGCCTCGTCACGTTCTAAGGCAATGCACGAGCGCCCCACCCGATGCGTACGCCTACGTGCTCACGCGCCGCCTGCACGTGACCGAACGGATGTTGTCGTATTCCCAACGACGAGGTCTACCTGAATCCAAGGAAGCTCTCGGAGCTGCAGCAATGCTGCCGGCTGACAGTGATGAGCCGGTTTGTCCTTCGGCGAAACCCTCGCTTTGAGGACCGCCACGTGGCTTGAGTACCGCCGGTTGCTCTTCAGCGGTACCGTCCGCCGCGGAATCGCACCGCAGAGTCTGCTGACCGGTCGCGCCGTTGGAATGGGACGGACCTCGTATCCTTCCCTCGCCAACGCCAATGCTCCGAGTGTTCACCGGGTCGGGTGGACGTGAAGGTCCCGAGGCCATGTTTTGTGTTTTGAGGCCAACCAGGAAGTTCTCATGAACGTTCACGAATCCTACGCCGACGTCTCGGGTATCGGGTTTCGGGCCGTTTCCTTCCACGGGGCCGGTTCCGACGCTAACCGTGCGCGTCTTCAGGATGCCCTTGACGTCTTTGACCCCTTTGCCGACTGACAGTGTCCTGGTGGAGGCGGCCCTGTGGGTGTTGGCGTGCTTGTGTTGGCTTCTGAGGACGGCGTTTGCGCCGGAGTCGGAGCCGAAGGCCTGTCTCGCGTTTGGGAAACGAGACGCGGAGCTCACCGCGGTGTTGCTCCGCTGGGCCGTTGTCTGGGGTGACGCCGCCGGTCCGAGACTTTTGACCGGATCTGTCACCGTGCCTCGGGAAACCACGTCCTTCGCCCGGCAGACCGTCGCATCCGCAGAACAATCCCCGCATGCGACCGACGTCACTTCCGTGCGCTTCAGATTCTGCCACGGGACTTCGGTGTTGCTTTGGCCATCGCTGAGCTTCACCTCCACTCCGACTCCTTGAGACTTTGTCGAAACGTGGATCCCCACGCCCTTCTCCCTGGTTTCTACTCGCTCTCTGACCTCCCAGCGGGTCATGGCTAGATCCGGGCCAATGGCGACGTTTCTCACCTCGGGGCCGCAACAGGGTATGGCCACATCCTTCACCTGCGCGGCATCCCCCGCGCCGGCGTCTTTGAGCCGGATGTGGTTGCCCACCCCTCGGCTCGTGGTGTCGGGCCTCGCCTCGATGCCGCGGCTCGCAACGGATGGCCTGGCGGAGGAGGCTTTGTCCACTCGGTTGCGAGCTTCTGCAGCTCGGAGCTCCAGTTTCAGCCGGTTCATCTCAGCCTGCAGAGAGGACTCCTTCAACTCTGTCTCCAGGTGAAGGTTTTTCTCCTTTAAGTCAGCAATGACTCGTTGCTGCGCTTGAATCTCTGCTTCCAAATCCGCACTGCGTCGATGCTGAAACTCTGGTGGAACGGAAGCGTGACCGTGTCCTTTCATGGCTTCTCCGTCAACGGTCCGCTCATCCCGGCGGAAAGAGCTTCTTCCTTGCCACGTTGGATCATGTCCGGTCTCGATGGCTCTTTTGAGGGCCGGCAGGCCCTCATCCCCGTCGCTGAAGTCGTCGCAATCCCTCTTCTCTTTGGCCTGCCATTCTTCCCCAGTACTGCCGTCCGAGTCCTTATTCTGGATTTGGAGTTGAGAGGCCAGTTGCCTCTTTTCCCCCCGAAGGACTGCGATTTTTACCTCGAGTAATGGGATGATCTTCACTTGCTCCTCCAACTCCCTCAGCCTCCGCAGGGCCACCGCCATTTGATCGCGCACGTTCAGCAGCTGCGTCGGTCCGACACTCGAGACCGGGTCGCTTCTTCCGGATCCCTGAGGGCTGGACCGGAGGCAACCTGTGCTGCCCCTGCCCCCCGATGAGTAGCCAAGAAGCCCGTGCGCATCGCCGCCGACGCCGGGAGCCTTGCCATCCTCGCTGTTGCCATCGTAAGCGCCCAAACCAGTGAAGCGAGACAGAGAACCAGGGGAGCTCACTCCCGCGAAGCTGGCCAGGCGGCGGCGGGCACCAAGCGAATGGCTCGGCGCCTCCTGCTCCACGTTTAGGTGTTGCTCAGCGATGGTCTGCTCCGACACAGGGTTTTGTTTCGGGCCCGAAGGAGCTCTTGAAGCAGGCGAGGACTTCAGTTCACCACCGCGATCCGGTCCTTCATCTCTGGAGGGAAGTCTGTCGGCGACGGATCCGTGCGGTGGAGGAAGAGGAGGGCGACCCAGGAGTCTTGTGTCATCACTGCTCGAGGATGACAGGGACTCCGCAGAATGCCACTGGCTGGATGAAACGCCGCTTTGCGTTTTTTCCACATTGCCGGTGGCCGCTCGAGGCCTCCTCTTTAGGCTTAGCCGCTTAATGTTGACGCTGTTTTGGAGACGCTGGGGGAAGTCTGCGGTCAGTCTTCAGGTAGTTAAGGACGCCTCAAGTGGAGAATTTCATGTGTTACTACGCCTGCCAAAGAAAATGAAATAAGCCTTCTCAAGCCTCCATGCGAAATGAAATCTCAGTGACACTTTATTCACCTTCAAGCCTGACCCGGGTCCTCCTCGCCCTCTCTGATTTAAAGGCTCTTTTTGTCTATCGCGATGCTTTTGAGCATCATATTGCTGAGGCCGGCCCACGTGAAGAGGAGGGACGTCAATTCGAGGAGGGTTTGGCCATCCCACACAAACGCTTTTCAGCAAGAACTATCCCCAAAATGTCAAGTCTCGCTGCACGGATCGTTCTTACTCTATAATTACTGCTCAAGTTCCCCTCTAAATGCGAGCTGCCGTTCTTGGCTCTCGTCACTTCACCACTGACTTTTTTTCACAAAGTTTGGAAGAGTCATTCCTGAACTGTTAACTCCATAAAAGAAGAAGAAAAAAAAGAGCACTTTGATGTGAGTGCAGTTGAACATCATTTGAAGAGACTTTTATTTATGGACTTAGACACATAAACGCCAGTCAAAGACACGACCATTGTTACCTAAAACATTCCTGAAGCCAAAGCCGCTTCCTTCCAGGAGGACGATGCAATGTAGCTCCGCGCTCATCTTGATTGATCCCCATTGTGCCGTACAAGAGCATCTCACTTTCAATCTCTGCGCTTCTGTCGCTCTTGCAGTTCAACACACAGAGCCCGTTCTGCAGATGAATGCGGCCCAGCGTACAATGCTTAGCTGAAGGAAATGCTATACTGTACTGTCATTCACTGGTGGGACGTGTTGCGCTTCGTCACTGCAATTAAGTCGATTATTCAGGTACATTGACTTGAGAATGTATTTTAAAATGCTGTAATTGTGTAAAAATTGCAGAATGACAAGCCGGGGTGCACCTTGTTTCCTGTTTCGAATCGATCCCTTGCAAAATTTTTCACTGCACGATGGCATTTTTTTTCACTAGTTGTCCGGCATGTGCGTGTCAATCGTCCAGCAGTAAATGACATGCTCCGTCTCGTTAGACCCAGTCGTGTGTTGGAAATGTTACCACAAACGTGAAATATATCAATGATCGAGGTTTATTCTTCTGCTCCTAAGAGTTTTTCTTGGCTAAACTAATGACTACAAATCAAGCCACACATGTAAAACGAATGGAGCCTTCCCTTAATCAAAGACAGTTTTAATCTACGATTTGAGCCAAGGGTTAACATCCAACATCGTGCTGAGGCGTCGGCGTGCCGATTGTAATCATATTGAGTTCTCTCTGATTTACTCAAACCGCTCGTTTAAAAGTGCCAATTGTTTGCCCGCAGCGGAACGTTGCGGTCTATATCAGGGTCTTGTTGTTTCTTTCAGCTAAATCTGAAGTACGCGTGGGTTGTTGGGTTGTTTTGAAATGAACCGTCGGGGGGAGGAACGAATCAGCTCGGACTGCGTATCCCATAGTGCAACGCGTCCTGTCGCATGACGATGACGTAAGCGGTCGCGCGCCGTGTGCCTCTCCGCTTTGCCTGTGGTGGATGAAAACGAGCCCTAAAAGTCACTCACGGTGTGTAATTTTCGTTATACTCGATTGAGAAGCGTTTCTGCTTTTATGTTCGGCGATAATGACTCGCTTGTTTATGTTCGGGCGTGACGTGAGGCAACGACGCAAAGTCTACGCTCACCACCAGCTAGCTGTAGCGGTCCACACTTGCCTAACATTGGTTCGATGTGTCTCTTTTTTTTTTTATGATTTTGATTATTTGCGCGCACTTATTAGACGTTCCTGCCACGATGTCCCATCAAGCGGGACCTTCCGCTGCGGACTCCCCGGCGTTGGTGGTCACCACCACCACCGTGCATAAATACGCCATGAAAAAGAAAGAGATCCTGAACGCCGAGGAGAGTGAGCTGTATGAGCTGAGCCAGGCTGCGGGCATCACCGTGGACCAGGAGGTGTTCAAGTGAGTGCGGGGATCGGATTGCGCCTTCGTTTTTATGCCGACAGTTCAGCAGCATTTTTGATGTGCACGCACGAGGATTAGGGAAAATAGTCGGTGGCTGCACCGCCACCGCAACGTAAATGTCCGGCACATATGGACCAATAAGTCGTAGAATGCGAAAGTCTCCCGGCTGTCCATCGACAAATCAAGACAAGCGTGCGTGTGGTCCCATTGACAACTTTATGCTCCTCTCGACTTCCGCCTTGTCCGTCCAGGATCATGGTGGACTTGCTGAAAATGAACGTGGCCCCTCAAGCCGTCTTCCAGACTCTGAAGGCCATGTGTGCCGGTCAGAGGGTCCCCGAAAGCTGCAGTGGAGACTCCACCGCGGCCTCCCATGTCACCGGAATCCCTTCGACCAAGGCAGAAGCTCGAGGTTCTCGCTTTGCGCCGATATGTCGACGGTGTTCAAAATGGAGGTCTTGCTATGATGAAAATAGCTGCTCGTCTGCACTTTGTCATCTCAGTCTTTTTACCTCGCAGCTCAACAGGATGAGAGTTTGAGCTCTGGGAAGAGTGCGAAGATGCCCGCCGGTGCCCCCGCGGGGCCCGGGCCACGAGGCGCCAGGATCAGCGCCAAGATGGCGGCCTACGGCACCCAAGACGCCGGCGGCGCTCCTCATGCTCAAGGTCTTGCCTTTGTCTTTGCTTTTGTTTTGTTTTTCTTCTGGCCCTGGTCTGTGCACGTGTCTGTGTGTGCACATCCTGAATGCAATGCGTGTGCGTTTGTGTCAGTCAGTGTGTGTGGCTTGATGTGCTCATTTGTCTCTTTTGTGTGTGTGTGTGTGTGTGTGTGTGTGTGTGTGTGTGTGTGTGTTCGTTCTGTCATGCATGTTTTTGTGTTGTGCATTCATCAGCGATGCATGTGACAAGTAGTGAGTGCATTTTGTCGTCTGACTTCCTGTGTGAATCACACTACGACTCCTGCACTACTAATAAGTAGCCACGAAACAAAATCCTTCCTTTTTCTTTTCGAGAAAAGCTTTGAAATTGATCGCAAACCGAATGGTGTAGGAGGTCACATTTAAAGTACTCGAATAAGGTCTAACAATAAATCTTGGGGTGTGGATTTATGTGGAAACATTTCAGTCTTCATCAATGATATTTAATGAACCCCCTTCACTAGCCTTCACTAAAGCAACATTTTCCACATGGTGGTGGTGGTGGGGGGGGGGGTGTTTGCTGCTCTTCTCCTGGCGTGACCGCGTGACTTTTTCCATCTTCCGGTTCATCAGCAGCGCGAAGCAAAGCGGCACCGTCGTCGTCAGCGAACCCGGCCGAAAAGACTCGCGAGGCCTCTGGCCAGCGGGCGCAGCGGCAGCCCAGCGCCAGCAGGGGGCAGAAGACGAAGAGCTCAGGAAGCAGCAGCTCCTCTTCGCAGATGTAAACACCGCCAGTACAGGTCAATCGTCTCAATACTCCACTAGTGCGTCATCACTCCATGACAGTTCTGTCGCAAACCATTTCAGAGTTAGTCATTCAAGACGTGTACGAGATGTACATTCCGTTCTTAGGTCGGCGTTTGCCATCCTTTTTTGAGTGACATAGATGAAGAACAACATCGATTTTTGCTCGGCAATCATTCCTAGTTTCCAGACCCATTCATTGAAAATGGAGAACACACCACACCACACCACCAAATATTGTCGCTGAGGCCGAAAGAAAATAACTCGATTGGAAGAAGCATCTTTTCATAAAAGGGAAGCAGACAGAAGTTGGATGGCGTTCTTATACAATCACAAAATTGCGGCTCCCGGAAATGCTGAATGGCAAGTTAAGTTCCTCAAGCAAAAAAGTGTCGCGGCACGCCTTGGTTCGGGAATCGCTGCGCGAGGTTCTTCGTCAAAACAATGTTCTCGCTCCGGCAGCATTTACTGTGAGGGTCTTTGAATATTCTGCAACATTGTTTTCAGAATAAACTTTAAAATGACAATATTTTTTTCCCTGTCTTATTTTTCGGGTACTTTATTTGTTTTTACAAATTCAAAAAGGGAGATTTTTGATTTATTTTTTCCTGCCTGAAGTTTCGTCAAGGAAAATATGTCTTTGCGAATAATCACAGATGCCTTCTTCCTAACATTGGACGCTTCTTCCAGCCGATGGACTTTTTAGGGCGGGTCTTGATTTTGTACGCAGGTTATCGGAACAGCCTCGCAGGGCTGAACAGATCGTTGGAATGTCACGGTTGATACTGGCCCACGTTTGCGTCAGCCGTTTAGGAAAATCCCTCACTTTGGTCATCGTTGGGGGCGCGGAGTAAAGGTAAAGCATCAAGAAGTCACTGGCTTCCACTTTGGTGTACTTTGTGCATGAAGTGAATCGTTGCCACATGGAGGCAGTAGAGTGACGCTGAATTTCTGCTCCCCCCACCCCCACTTCACAAGCCCCAAATGGTTGCAGGGATCCTCCTTGATTGGAGTGAAAGTGGCGCTGAACTGCAGGTTTTGTTTGTGCGTGCGCGCAAATGGAGAGGCGGTGTGCAGCTTCAGGGGTCATTTTAAAGTTCACCGGCCGCCCGCCTTTTATGTGGCCGTCCATCCTCTTTATACGGCCCTGCCTGCGCACATTGATGGCGGCGCGCCTGTAATTGATGGCGCCATATTGCCGCGGTGCAGCCGCTTTAATGGGCCTTGACGGAGCAAGGGGGGAACGCGGCACGGGACCGAGCTTAACCCTTCCCGCGCCTCCGTCCCGGCTTTTGGCAAAGCGGGTCCCGGGTGATTAGCGTGCCGCCGCTCTCCGTAATGGCCGCTCGCTTCATGATCGGGGGAGCGGAGACGCCCCTCCGACTCCACTCGCGAGAATAAACAGTCGCCAGCTGTCACCGCTCGCCTCTGTTGTTGCTCGCGGGCGGCCTAAATGTGTTTGACAAAGCCGGTAAACGGCCGGGAATTTATTCTCGGCCCGCCAGGCTGCGGCTCCCCGTGTCACCTGTAGGGGGCAGTGTGGCCACGGGAGTGGCGGTGGGTGGGGGGGGCGCTCCCTTCCCTTCCCCAAACCTCCCCGTATCGGTCCGCCACGCCTGGCCTTTTGGATGTGTTTATTTTCTTCCGAGGGAATTTCACTCTTCCATTAAATAGAGAGCGCTATCCCTCACACGCAGAAGCACCAGCGCGCGTGCCCGCACGCTACACGCGCCGTTAATCAAGAGACGACCAAACGGCGGGCCCGACCGTATTGTGCGAGGCATCGCGTTCAAGAACGAGGGCTTCAAATCGTGAACGGAAGCGCTGCGACACGATGCCGAAGACAATATCCACGTTTTGCGTATCGCCTCAATGTCCGCAAGCCGTCCAATTTGGGACCTTTTGCGCCACGCTCTTTTATTCCATTTTCTAACTGGAAACATGCTCCGAGCTCTTGGCTTCATGTTTTTAGAGCTGAGGTCAATTTCTCCGGCACTGCTTCATGCGTCCCGACTTGGCTGCTGCTTTGAGGCGCGCGCACACACACGCGCACACACACACACACACACACACACACACACACACACACACACACACGTGAACTTGATAATGACCCCTTTAATATGAATGAATGAATCTTTATGAAGAGAGCGCTCTCTTTTGTGATTTCTCACTGTAATGACTGAACAAGGTAGGAAACAAATATGGCCAAGTGCAATCAACAAGGACAACGGGCGCAACGACAGTCATGGCACCACTTGTAATTGTCCCGCGTGTGTGTATGGCGTAAACCTTCACTCATGAACCCTTGTGTGGCATTTCTAGGAAATCGTTCTGTCCCACCACCCGTGAGCGGTTTTGAGAGCAGGCCTACTTGCTTCCCGCGGGCTGCCGAGGGCACCGTCTCCATGACGCCTCTTTCGAGTCTTCAAAGCACCTCGGCCGACTTTTGCCAAGACAAGCGGGGTACGTACGCCGTGGACTGGTCAGCAACCCTTTTGACAAGTTAAATGCAACTCCGCGCAACTTGATCTCCGGAGCCCCGGAAAAGTCGAGTGTCGTACCGAATGAAGATCAAACGCAATCATCATCATCGTAGCAATAATGATAACACAAGAAATTGAATCGGTGATGAAAAAAAAAATGGCTACATGTATTTTCTAATTGATGCGTCCCTCTCGGAAAAAAAAAACGACCTGCTCCACTCCCTCTTCTGAGTCTTTGACAAGGAAATGACAAAAGAAACGATTGAAAATAAAACGCTAGCCCATACTGAGCAAAGAAACAAAGATGTCGACGCGAAATCCGAGCCGTTTGCCATGAGCGTACCGGAGATAAATTCCATCAAGAATTGCAAACGGATCTCCACATATTGCATCCGTTCCCATGCAAGTAATTCCATTCATCCCTCCCTGCTGAGCTTCATACTCTGTGTAGCATATTACGAGACGATATTTTCCACTGTGTTGTGTTCGGACCGTCCATAGTTCCATACCACACCAATTTTCAATCCCCCCCCCCCACATATATGTTCAATGTCCATTTGGAAATGTTTGAAATATGAAGCTGACAAATTCAACCGTGTATTCCTTTAACACGGGAAAAATGGCTTGAAAATGAAAAAAAAAGGGAAAAGCAAGCAATGTCTCCGACAGGAGCGCTTTCAGGATCTGATAAGAGGACAAGACGGCAAGCGCTACGCAGATCCAAGTCTCGCGCGGCATCACTCGAATACGTTGTGCAGGTGTGCCTCATATTGCGGCCGGTGGCTTTGTGTGCCGTGTCCCCCGTGTGCAGCCGAGCGCATAGGAATCTTGTTTTCTTGCTGTGCGCTTCCACCCTCCCATCCTCCATCCTCCTCGCCTTGTCTTGTATTCTACAGGAGTACAAAGTCCAAAATCACATATTTTGTCATAAAATTAAGGCCTGTATTACAATTATACAAAGGAGTACAGTATATGTGCCATATTGGACAGTTAAAATGGAACTCTTACACTCTATATATATATATATATATATATATATATATAAAATATGTGTGTGTGTATATGTTTATGGATATAATTTCCATGAGTTCATCTATGACATTTCACATTGGAGCGTAAGCATTGAGCTAGCAGGCTTTCCTTGGACAAAATATTGATTCCGCATATTGTGTTGAACATTTTATGTTGAAATTGAAATATCCACCATTTGCTTCCCTTTTGCTTTATTTGTCCGTTTGACCGCAAATTTTGACGTGGCGTGATGAGTGAACCGCGCCCCAGTCAAAGCTGGCCTTATTTCTTCGTCTGTTCCCCCATGTCGACATTCCCAGTGAAAAGGGATCACCAAAGAATGGCGACGGACGAATGCGACGTGCCGATTGTTCTGCCCATTTTGCTGATGTCCACCGGTCTTTTCGCCGTGTCGCCGCTCTGTGCGAAAGGTGGCAATTTTTGGACTTAGGATGTTGGAATAAGTCGAGTCAAGTGCCCTTTTTTTCTAGCTTTGGAGGGAGCAGCAGAGGCAAGATGGCGGGCAGCCGTGTGAAACAGGAGAGCGGAAAGCTGCCGAGTTTGATGTTAAAACATCAGCTTCCTTTGCTGTTGTATGAGAGCACAGACGAATACGCGTCGTCGCCGTGATGTGTAGATTTGGGACGTCTGTGCCCCCCGCCGGCATTGTAAGCGGCTCAAATAGACAGAAGCCAAGCAGGTAAACACGGCCTCCTTAAGCCTTATTTATTGATCCGCTTTATTCGCCAGAGGCTATCGGCACCGTCTGTTCGCCACAGATGTGGGGACCAATGGAGCTCACGCTCGTCGGCAGTGCGCGCGCACACACACACCTTTGGATGCAAGAAATGCATCCTCAAGTCAGAATTCTTGGCTCCAGCGGTTAAGATTGGATTTGCTGCCACTAAGATGCAGTCACACAAGTACCCGAGGGCCCGAGTTGTCAGACTGGTGTCCGTGCATTCGTCCTATAAATTGGAGGTCCGTTCTGAGTTAAAAAATGCGGGCGTTTGTGAACAAGACGATTCTGGACTACAGGACTAGAATATAGTCTTGTCTCGAGGCATCGCTTCCCGAACGTGTACGTCGTACTTTTGGAATTCACTTGCTAAACTATCAATCCCATCCCATCATGACTTGGCTTGAGCGAGGCTTACGTCCACTCCTCCGCTCTCGCCGAGTCACGTTTGCGGGCGATCTGGACTCGGCCGTACCGAGGCGCTCGCTCACAAGTGGTTTGGATGTTGTTGTTTTTGTTTTGAGCTGTTTCCGAGCGTTCTCCGAATTGGCTATTTGTCTCCTCACCTGAACGCACAGGTGACGTGGCGCTTCGTTGCTGCTCGAGCCTTATCTAAATTGTTTTATAGTCACCGATGAAGTGAGATGTGGTCGAGGGGTCGTGTCTCTTTTCATGTTTGCTTGCAAACCTTGTGCGTTGCCATCCCCGTTTCCTTGATTATTATTTGTTTTGTTTTTGTAATATCCAAACGTAATCGTCTTGCCACCTGCATCGTTGAGGTGCTCTTTGCGATCCGTCTCGTAGCATGCCGTTGGGGTTTCGTTTGAGTCTTTCAGCTTTTTTTTTTTTTTAAGTGTAGCATGTCATAAAATTGCTAACAAAAGTTGCATTTGAGTCCTCCACCTCTGGCATCGTGTTCGTCGACCGTGACGGCTGCCCTGCTCAATGCACTTTGTTGAGCTTAGCACAACAGCCGTTCAGTCTGTATAGTGGGGGGGGAATTGTATGCAATGTATTGTTGCGTCAACATGAATGCATGGCGGAGCTGCGAAGACGTGCAAACAATCTGCACACAGAATGATTAGCTGCTAATTAGTAACTAAATAATCATCACAGAATTGTCATCATTTCTATGAGTTGTGTGTGTGCAGGCGTGCGTGTGAGATGTTTCCAAATTTCTATTAATTAAGCCAAAGGCAATTTGGTTGCCGTCTGTGTCACATTCATTTGCACACTTTCTTTTGTGTAGGTGAGCGCGCGTCCCCCCCCGTATGTTGCTTTTCATTGCTTGTA